GGAGCAATAAAATAATAATAATCATAACAATAAATTAAAAAAAATGGATTATTATACAAATATTTTATATAGAAAGATAAATAAGTCCATTTATTTAGTTCTACCTTTCTTATACCTATTAGATATATATTCACTGAAATATACTTATATATAATATACAAATTCAAATTATAAGATAAGACATCTTTACAATTAAGAATATAACAATAATAGGTACAAATATTAAATTGAGGTCCATTCTATGACAAACTTGGCCTTTATTTTTATACCTTTAGTGGGCCTAGTATATCTAGTAATTGCAGTGGCTTCTTTATCTCTTCATGTTAAAAAATTGAGGGGTACCCATCATCTTCTCTGTTATTTCCCCCATATTCTAACCTCATCAATATTAAGACTTTCACTCCTAAATTACCCACTCCCAGTTCACCAACATTGATGATGATGATTGCTTAATCAATATGAAAGAAGGAGAAGCAACTAACTAGCAACAACATTGAGCAAGGGTAGATGGGCTGTGAGTTTGGGTTCATGCCAAAAATTTACACACTTGTGAATCTGTATGTTGGGAACGAAGAAGACGATGTCAGGACGAACGAGAGCGAGAAAGAGGGACCAAATGAGGAGGAATTGGTGGTCCAGGCACAAAGTAATGAAGAGGTAGAAGCTAAAAGGACCAAAGGTGGCAATTAGAATATCTACATTTAGGATTATAGGTTTATATAATGATATATTATATATATTAGCCAATCCCAAACATAATGTGATCAGGACGAGCCCAGTTTCTTCTATTTGCACATTCCTAGATCGAGTTGGACTAAAAAATTTGACTTGGTCCGATCCACATTTAAAAATTTAATTCAGTACAATTCTTTAATCAAAATTGAAAAATACACATGACTAACTGTGTCCAGATTATGAGCATACATTTTAAAAATAATTTAAAATACAATATGACAAAGCAACCTTTTTGCACCTCATTACGATAAAGAAATCTATGGCTCATTAGATTGAAATTAACCTATTATGCTCTTTTCTAATTTTTTTAAATAGTTTGAATTCAAGTTGGTTCGAGACAAATAAATAATACATAATATTAGAACATATTAGTTTTTGTTTAAAAAGAATAAGTTTAAACTTTGGTTACTTATATAATTTTAAATTGAAGTATAATTTTTTTGTAATTAATTATATTGTTGGATTATTGAATTTATCATTAACTTAATTAATTAATCTTCACATAACGGATTGGTTTGATCTAAATGTTTTGAAAAATATGTTTGCTCAACTTAAAGCCACATGAAAATTAATGAATCCATCCCAAATTTTCGTGCCATAACTATAGGTTAAGTTCAAGTGTTATAGAACTCCTTTTAAATTTCTTTGTCATCCCTATGTGTACCCATGAAAATCACGTGAAAATTCACCAACCCGTTCCAAATACGGGATACGGGATGGGTTCAAATTAACGAACTGAACCGTTAAGATGCTCAAAAATAATAATAAAAAAAAAATCAAAGAGATGGGAGGAGCATGCAGTGATTTATGTGCGTGAAATAGAAGGGAATGCGAGTGTCTCTGCTGCCTCGTCTTTCTGACAGATCCCGCTGTTTAGGGTTTCTTTCTCATACTACTCAAAAATCCTCGGCTCTCCATGTCTCTTCTCCAGACCAATTCCCCACAATGCCCTTCCTCATTCCCTTCCTCTCCTTCCCCCTCCCTCTTCTCTTCTTCCTCATTTCGCATATCTGTAGCCCGGCCTAATAGCACCAGTAGGGCATTCATTTCTTGTTGTTTATCGCAATCTCAAACTGCTATCGTCAATGGGGGTGTCGTTAATCGAATTGCTGAGAGAAATGAGATTCGCTTCGGTTTGCCTAGCAAGGGCCGAATGGCTGCTGATACTCTTGATCTTCTTAAGGTATTTTGCTCTTATTTCTGTTTGGTTGCCGCGGAAATGAATGGAAGTCTAAGGAAAATCGCGATCTTATATTTGGATTTTCTTTTCCTTTCGGAAAATTTATTTGACTCGGAAAATAGAGACATTATTTGTGCAATTCTGTCTTTGTTTGAATTCATGATAACTTCTTGTTCCTTTTTTGTTGAACTGCTGCGTTTCTTTTTAAGTGTTTCGCGTTATTTCCTGATTTTTTTTTCAATTGGTATAATATATCTCAAGGCAAATTCGTCAATTGAACTACGAACTAGGTAGCTGAGAAATGATTTCAAATATATCTTCTCTATTTTGTTTCTTTATTCCAGCACTTATCTTGGTAATGGCGCGGAAACTTGAGCCTCGTATGAACTACTTACTACTTGCTATTCTCAGCTCTGACGCCATACTTTAATTTGTTCTTTTGAGAAGGATTGCCAATTATCTGTGAGGCAGGTTAATCCTCGACAATATGTGGCAAAAATCCCTCAGGTTCTCTCTCATTTTCATCACAAATCCTCTGTCACTTATTTTTTTGGTCCGTCGTTCTATATCTTAAATGAATGCTTCAGATTAGGCTGTTGGAATAAATATAAAATTTTCTTTGACACTTTTATTTCTCCTTCAGCTAGCCAATCTGGAGGTCTGGTTTCAGCGGCCAAAAGACATTGTACGGAAACTTTTATCGGGAGATCTGGATATTGGTATTGTGGGTTTTGACACTGTTAGTGAATATGGTCAGGTATTACAGCATCTAGTATATTGTTGGACTTGGATTTTATTTTCAGATTTTCTGTAATTACTTGGATCAGTTAGAGTAATCTTGATGTTACTGATATATGTCCAATAAATCCTGTCTCAAAGCTCAAAAATATTGCTTTTGGCAATTTAGTTGATTGCATAAGCCTTTTTTGAAAAATCAACCATCCTATTTTGCTCTAGTTATTCTTGGACTGATCTTATAGTTAGTACCAAGGAATTTTGTTCTTTGGGTTTGCATTAAGGTGGGTCACTTCATTTGCCTGTGATAACTTGGGAGTTACTCTGTTTCCAAGAATAGGAAAAAGACATCAAATTACATGTATTCTGCATACTACCTGTGTATAATTGTGCAAACATCTCTATGTTTTCTCCTAGGCATAGGGTGTATTCTTCATTAATCCATAATGCTTCTCTTTGCATAATGTTTTTTGATGGAATGCTAAAATCACTCAAGTTACCTTGAAGGCCCTGAAACCTCCACCTTCTTTACATTCAAGTTCTTTGCTCAGAGTACATGCATTTTTCTTGCATATAGTTCTCATGAAATAAAGAGGCATCCAGTTATTTTTCCCAAGAAGAAGAAGGAGAAAAGGATTAGGGCATACATTTGCTTCGAGTTCATTTAAGTAGCTTCGATTCCTTCTTTATGGAAGAATGATTATATATGTTCTACTCTGTATGAAAAAAATTATTCTAAACATATATCATCCTTCTTGACAATCAGAGAAACCACATTCTATAAAAAAAAGTGGAGAAACCACATCATTATTTATTTATTTTCACTTTCATCTTTAGAATGAGTCGTTGTAACAAATGATTATGTTCCTTAGCATTGTATAGTATTTTGATAAACGTGGTAAAGAACAAGTGGCTAAAAGTATTTTTAACAAGCAATCTGCAAAGTTCCACCATCCGGTCCTTCTGGGACTCTTTGATTAAGAGTTTAGAAGTTAAAAAATCAAGGCTCAGATGCTGCAGCTTATAGTCCTCCGGAGTTAGATGCATAATATGAAGTTCAATTGTTTTAACAAAAGGGAACATAAGCATCTTCCAGATTCTTCTAGTGTCTTGGCAATGTGAAAATCATTAACTTGGAATGTGATGAAAGTATATTCTTGCTAAAACTCTTGGAACATTTGATTTTCTTGTTAGGGGAATGAAGATCTTATTATTGTTCATGATGCTCTTGATTATGGGGATTGTCGTCTATCTCTTGCTGTAAGTGATTTTTGCTTCGTGCATATAACTCATTTGAAGATTTTCTCTCATAGTTAACAGTCATCATGGCCATCTTTTATAATGTCAGATTCCGAAGTACGGAATTTTTGAGAATATAAATTCATTGAAGGAACTAGCACTAATGTCTCAATGGACTGCAGAGAAGCCTCTGCGTGTTGCTACTGGCTTCACTTATGTATGATATGCTAGCTTCTCTTTCCATACTAAATTAATTTTTTCTTCTAGTAAGATTTCTTTTTTGAGCTAATGGCTAGAATGACTCTATTCACATTTAAACCTACTTCAATTTTCTATGCAGCTTGGTCCTAAATTTATGAAAGAAAATGGACTGAAGCATGTAGTCTTTTCAACTGCAGATGGAGCCTTAGAGGCAGCTCCTGCTGTAAGAAATTCTTCCCTTCTAAATAATCATAATGACTTCCATTGTAACCTGAGTGATACTAATCTGAAATGATTTGGGTGAAAATAGTGGAAAAGAAAGCCTTAGAAGCAGCTCCTGCTGTAAGAATTCTCACTTTCTAAATAATCATTATGACTTACATTATAACTTGAATTATACTAATCTGAAATTATTTGGGTGTAAATAGTGAAAAAGAAAAAGAAATAAGATAAAGAAATTGAAGGCTTTGAAATAACTCTTAGTAGAAACCTCTTTAGCTCCTTCACTCGGTTTGATTCTTGGCTCTAACTCTTTGTAGAAACTTCATAATCCTCATTATTTTGCTATTAAAATACTTTTTTTCCAACTAGATTTTAGATTCTGTACTTATTAAAAGTTGTTTGTTTCTTGGTTGATGTTATCATTCTGGATGATGATTGTGTGAACTATTAATATTCATTTTGTAAGATGCTTGTCTCTCCAAGTGATGCTTATCAAAGTATTTCTCCATATGATGCTTATCGAAGTATTCGTTTCTGTTATTCTAGATGGGAATAGCCGATGCAATTTTAGACCTTGTGAGTAGTGGAACAACATTAAGAGAAAACAACCTGAAAGAAATTGAAGGGGGAACAGTCTTGGAAAGCCAGGTAAGATATCCTGTTTCCATCTGTTTTGCACAAGCGAATCATGTCAACTTGTAATCTTGAGAGTCTTATTAGTTGTTGGAAATTATTGTTTGTTGGAGATCAAACAGCTTTTTTCAAAATTCTCTTTAATGTCTCTCATTTTACATCAAGTAATGGTGTTTTTTATAGGCTGTTCTCGTAGCGAGCAGGAAATCTTTGGTCCAGAGAAAAGGTGTGCTGGATACAACACATGAAATTCTTGAGAGGTTGGAGGCTCATTTGAGGGCAGTTGGTCAATTTACGGTGTGTAGACCAGGGTTTTTTCCTTTTTAGTCATTTGTTTATTCAGTCTTAATTGTTTTCTCATACAATTTGATGGTAGGTGACTGCAAACATGAGAGGAAGTAGTGCAGAGGAGGTAGCTGAGCGAGTACTGAGCCAGCCATCACTATCTGGTTTGCAGGTGATATTTGAAGAATCCAATCTTCATCTAATTTGGAAGTTGTACTTATCTTTTCTTGGTAAAGTGCTGAATGACAGAGGTCTTTCAATTTGTAGGGGCCAACTGTAAGTCCAGTCTTCTCCAAGCGTGATGGACGGGTAGTAGCTGATTACTATGCCATGGTCATTTGTGTTCCAAAGAACGCACTATACAAGTCCGTACAGCAGTTGAGAGCGGTCAGCTATGACAAATTCTACCAGTTCTTATCTGTGTGTATATTGATTATGTAGTTTTGAGTACCAGCATATTGGTTCTGAACTCGTGAGAAGTTCCTGTCCCTCTTTTGGATGGAACGAACATTATTTCAATTCTTAAAGCCATATTTCTAATGTATATGAAAATTACTTGTATTTTTTGGACTTGATTCCATATTTTTGATAATATCACAAACAGGATTTAAAGTTATTGCTATGTTGCAGATTGGAGGGAGCGGGGTGCTGATTTCACCATTAACCTACATTTTTGATGAAGAGACTCCCAGATGGCGGGAACTGCTTTCAAAACTTGGGCTCTGATATCGAATTTAGTTAATTTGGGAAGTGAAGTTAGTGTGTGAAATCTTCAAGGTTTTGCTTTTTTAAGGGAGCCTGTTATTTCATCGGGCAGCAATATCATCTGTTGTTTTGTTGTATCTGTAATAAATTACTTGTAGTGCTATTAGAGGTTTCCTTATCAATGGATTCTACAAGTTATTCGTTTTGAGATATAATTCAGTTGTTTAGTCATGTTGATAGTCTCAAAAATTACAGTGTGAGAATAAAATTGAAGATTAAAAAGAAACCTTTAGCAGCAAATAAGTGTATATCTATATACATGTCAAAAATGGGACAAATGCAGACTTATTCCTTTTGTTATATTTTCTTCTGAGAGAAAAAAAAAAAAAAAAAAGAGAAAGAAATGCGTGTGTATATATATATATATATATATATATATATTTTTCATATGCCATAAATGGTAAATATTTTAAAGAAATTACTTTTGAAACACAAAAATTAGTACAAACGCTTTATTATACTAACATCTCCGTAAAAATTTATAAATTTATAAACAAGTGTTTTCGGAGTATTGTGAAAGAGAAAAATGAAGTGAAAAAAGAGAGATGAAAAATAAAGTGACAGTGGTGGAATGGGAAACCACATTGTTCTTTCTCTATTTGAGTTTGGGTCTGTAAAGTTTTCACTTTACCCCAACCAAATTAAATGAACCTAACTCATCAAAATCCAACCCAAGACCCAAAGCCCGCTCTTTAGAAAATTAGCCAAACGACGCCGTGAGCTCGGGATCTCTTAGTGTTGAAAACGGCGTCGCGTGGGGCTAGGGTTAAATGCCCGAATGCGGTTTGGTTTCGTCATCTCCTCTCTTCCTTCACCCAAAACTTAAGCGTGTGGCTTCTGGAGGCGATTGGAAGAATCAGAGGAATCTGGAGTTGGGAGAGTGAATAAGCGGAGGAAGAACGACAAAGAGCATTCAGCCTCTAGGTATAGTTTACAGATCTGGTTCTCAAGATGAAGCAACGTTTGTTCTTGAAAATTGATTTGGGTGCAGTGTTTGTTGTTCTGAATTATGCTATTTCAAGTTGATTGAAAATTTTCAATTTATGTGTTATGCAGTTAATTAGCTTCTTTTTTTTTTTACCGTAATAGGCGTATCCGTCACAAACGTTATAGTCACCAATATAAATATACTGTTAATGCTAGGAATGAAGTATGGTAATTTTACGTTCCATCGTTTGTCTTCTTTTTCTTTATGTTGGAGCGATGTTCTTTTGCTGTTGATATATTTCATTCACTATTTTATGATATTTTACAAATCATATGCGTGCCAGTCTCACTTGCGTTTTGCATAAAGAGTTGCCACGTTTTAATTTTCTTGCTGCCTTCCCTCAATCTGATACTACTACTCAAGAGTTCGGACCTCCAGGATACTATTATCAGCTTTTAGCGGGACATGAGTCTGGTTCTGTTTGCTAATGCCATTCATGTGGCTACCTTTCTTTCTACTTTTTCTTTGGACCTGCTGTTTGCAAATATAATCTTCTAAGGGTTTTACTGTGCCTGGTTTCTTTTTAATTTTTAGCACGCCTCTTTTTGGCCTTGACTGAGTAATGTTGTTATGGTTGGAGTAAAAAAGAACTCAGGTTATCAAATATTCTTATTGAGTAAAATGAACGAGTATGTCCACAATGATCTCTTGGGTTTTTAGGTTCTCTTATGGTTACTTGCAACTGTTACATGCATATGTTGCCACCTTTGCTGTTTGAGTTCCGTTGTTATATATTATGGCTTCATGTTGTACTACTTCCACATCGGTATTATAACAGTTGTTTTGCATTGGAATATCTCTTGCTCGTTGCATTCCCATG